TGTTCAACTTTTTCATGAACGATATTCCCAGTTGTTTTCATCATTCAACACCATTTATGTATGCAGACGACCTGAAGTTTGGGAGAATAATTGATTCAGTAGCTGATTCGGTACTACTGCAGTCAGATTTGGATAGGCTTGTGGTGTGGTGTACTCAAAACCGGATGAACCTTAACCATGAAAAATGTTTTGTGGTTAATTTTACACCAAAAAAGACAAAAATCAATTGTGACTATCATATTGAAGATGCGCTTGTTCAGGATAAAGACATAATAAGGGACTTAGAGGAGCTCGATGGCGCAAGTGGTTAGCGCGTTCCGCAGCGATCGTTGATTTTAAGCAACTTTCGCAGTGGTCGGTCATTGGATGGGTGACCATAATTTACTATCTCGAGCTCCTCCGTGCTTCGGAAGGCACGTTAAGCCGTTGGTCCCGGCTGCATCTGCAGTCGTTAGCACCCACCAACCCGCACTGGGCCCGCGTGGTGGGTCATGGCCCAATCTCCCTATTCCATCCATAGGGAAGCCTGTGCCCCAGCAGTGGGGACATTAATAGGCTGATGATGATGATGATGATGAAGGGACTTAGGTGTTATTTACGATCACAAGTTGACATTTGTGCCTCATATGGAGAACATTATTAAAAGAGGATCTAAACTGCTGGGATTCTTGATAAGAAGTACCAAACCTTTTCGAAACCCAAAAACAAAAATAATACTATATTACAGACTTATCAGGTCTATCTTGGAATACTGTAGTGTAGTCTGGAGACCACACTATGCCACTCATTCCCTCCGTATAGAAAGGCTTCAAAACGATTTCTGCGAGTTTTGGCATATTGGCAAAGCTAAGGAACTTGGGTCTTACACTGAAAGGCTAAGATATTTTGGAATTTATGTTTCTTTCTAAATTGGTAAAAAACGCCATTGATTCTTCGCAGCTGCTAGCACTCTTCAAATTCCGAGCACCATCTAAAATACCGCGCAAACCAATTACACCACTTTGTCCACCCTTGAGAAGAACGGTACTTGGTTCCAACTCCCCCATTGCGAGATTATCCTATACTCTAAACAAATATAGTGGCATTGTCGACATACATCATGACTCTGTGGTCTCATTGCGAAACAAATTGTATGATCACATATTTCCTCCAAATTCATAAAGAAAAAATATAAAAATATTTTGAAACAGATTTAAAGAAACACACACACACGAATACACATTTAATTTTAATTAAATAATATCTGCTTAAGCTTAATGTAATGCATGCTGAGTTCGCCTATAAGTGGTTACACATTATATCATTGAATGTAAAATTGTATTAAATAAGATGTATTGATGTAGTAACTGTTGGTGATCCAATAAAGAGAGAGAAAGAATAGAGTTTTCAACCCATATTTTTCTCATTTTCTGGATCAACGGTAATCTCCAAGAAAACTCTTACTTCATAGGTGAGTTTCGCAATCAACTCTTCATCCACGCTATACAATATATTCTCTATATTTCCAATTGCCCCTTTCATAAATGAATTCACTCGTCCACCCGTTCTTGTCCATTCTATGAAATCGTTCATCGGTTCTTCAAAAGGGTCAGATTTTATTTTACTGTAGAAAAAGTCCATATCGGAGAGTATTATCTGTACTAATACTATATCTTGATCAACAGTCACATTCTCTTCCTTATTATAGATATTATTTATTCTAGTAGCCACTATCTTTTTTACTGTAGACAGTATATCTTTAGTAGGCACATTATCAGCATACGCCATATCGTTTAGAATAACTTGGAATTCATTTGCCGTTACTTCATTCAAACGTTTATAAAAACTAGTTTCTTGCAGATATTCGTATAGAGATCTAATAAATGATTTCACTCTAGTATCAGGTAAGCTTAAAATACGCTCGAAGAGAGTGTTTAGACTTTTGGTGCATTCCAATGACTTTAAACATATTTTGTAATTCAGACAAAGTTTCTTCTGATAATACGCTTCTGTTTTTGCTATTCCCACTACCAATTTCTGTATTAAGACCTTTTTAACAGCATTATCACTTGCATCAACGCCTAATTTATCTGCTATGTAGGTGATGGTTTTAGTTTGAAACTCCGCGCTTATCTTTTTAACAACACTCACCCACACGTAAGCTTCATTTTCATCGTTCACTTTTGCATTTGCAGTCTTTATAATTTTTCTGCAACCACGTAAGCATCCTTTGAGCTTCCCAAATAAAGGTGCGGCTGCCTCCAATTTTTCTTCAACTTTGATGTTATGGATATCCTCAAATACACTTTCGGACACTTTCGCTAGAGCAATAACGTATTCGTTTATGAATTGGTAGAGGATGCCGCTGCAGAAATCTGTTTTGCGACAAAGGGAGGAGCTAATCACTTCTATGGCGATGGTATCTGGTTGGCCGGCCATAGATCTTCTGTTATTCATACTGGCGCTGCGACGGAAGTAAAACTCTATAGTATCTAATATATCTTTCCCGAGGACAAGGGAACCTTGCATGTCCACCTTTATTGTTTCGGCCAGTGTTAAGATTGCTGAAAAACAATGCCGTCCCAAATATCAAATTTTGTTTGGTCTATTTAATATTTATTACCTATACTGATATAAATCTAGTTAATTTCAGACAGTAGATACTTCATTTCACTTTCACTTTGGACGCAACAAGTGGTGTGGTATGCTATCAGTTGTCTTAGGCCCGTATTACAGAATGACAACTAAGTGTTGATCTTTACTTATTTACAGCACATAACGACATCCCTTTTTAAATATGCTCAAGACTAGATCAATCAATGAGAAACTTTCTATAATACGGGCCTTCATCATCATCATCATCATCATCATCATCATCGACCCATGCTCGTCCACTGCTGGACATAGGTCTCTCCTAATGCACGCCACTGCTCCCGATTTTCTGCCACTCTCATCCAGCCTACTCTAGCCAGCCTACGAATGTCATCATCCCATCTTGTCTCAGGGCGTCCCACACTACGTTTACCGAGTCGCGGTCTCCACTCAAGAACTTTACGGCTCCATCGGCCGTCAGTTCTGCGGCTAATGTGACCAGCCCACTGCCACTTCAGTTTATAAATACGAATTATACGGGCCTTAGTCTGACACAAATATTCGTAACATCAACTACTATCACATTAACTTTAAAAAATATTAAAACAATATCTACGAACTTCAACAACAAAATATACTTTACTATTTTAGTAGGTAGGTGATTTTTTGTTTTTAAATGTTAAATGGAAAGGTATCGTCAAAAGTACAAAGTTAGGAAATTTCCTAACTTTGTACTTTTGACGATACCATAATTATGGACCCCATAAATAAAATTCCTTCCGCCATTCCCGGCATCGGAATACGAAAAGGTTTTCTCCTTCGTAAGTAAAGCTGATAGTGCCTCGAAATCTGAATCATTAGCCGCCTACTTAATGGCCTAGGTACGCCCAAAAAACTCAACATAAACAAAACTCACCAAATAAATACAAAATATATTTTAAAAACATCATGTTGTAAAAATGAGATTTATAATGCACATTGTAATAAAATTTATCGCTAGTGGTCGCCGACCTACCAATAGCTACATAAAAATGACGAAAGCTAGTTACAAAATTACGACTTGCCCATTGCCGACGGCGACTTCATAAAATAAAATCATTATTTTATTGAAAACGTATCTATATTTGAGGAGCTCGATGGCGCGGGTGGTTAAACATATTTTGTACCTAATTCAGACAAGTTAGCGAGTTCGGCTGCGTTCGTTGAAGTACCTATTCTTTTTAAAACGTTCTCTTTTTCTTAAACTTCATGTTAATTGAAACACAACGTAAATTGAGAAGGTTTACTTGCTTAGTGTGCCTTTTCTAAATTTTCGATCCACAAAATGTCCGCACAACGAGGTCTTGACAAGTCCTCGGTGGACATTTTTCAAGCTTGAGGGACTTTTGTCCGCGGATAAAAGCCCATCGTCTGCACAGGCCACTCCATTATACATATCTAAGTACCTATCTTAAATTTAGGTAAATCTAATAGAATTAAAAAAATATCCAGAGGGCCAATCACTGGTACTATGCGATTCAAATAAATCTGTCAAATGTCGCTTGAAAAGTACGGTTTGCAAAAATAACTTACTAATCTTAGAATAAATACCAAACATTTGTAAACAAAAGAAAGAAATAAATCATATGAAACGTATAGAAAATAGAGAATATAAGAGTACAGGAAAAGGGAAATTTGAAAGAACTTTATGTTTATTTGTAAATACAGGTAATGTAAAAAGACTGTGTTTATTTTAGAAGACGTTGTCGTTTTAAAATTAAAACCTACAATAATCGATATTTTATTTTATAGGCGAAAGCAGCAGTGATGATGATGACTAATGCGACGGTAGTGCAGAGATGAGCGGAATTAAAGTGCTAAATTCTGGTTAATCTTTTTTCTCACTCAGTCTTAATAAATAAATATTATTAAAAATTTGTTTTTTTTCTCACTTAATCTTGGTAAATAAGTTTTTAAAAAAAATACTTTTTTGCTCACATCACAATATGACGCCTAGTCGATCCTATTAGTTGAATCGCACTGTATTATTGTACCTCGAGGGCCGATCTCTACACATCATCTGTTGATTTTGAAATATTTTAATACACATTAATTGATTGAGATTGAGATGTTTAGTCTTCTTATTTTGTTAATTAAACCCTACTTAACAACAGTGAAAACTAATAATTAATTTACTAAAGACAAACAAATGATAAATTCCGCTTAAGGGGCCAATTATTATAAGTCTACCCTAGACAGCAGAACTTTGTTAAAGTTTTGATTACCTCATAGCAGCTTATTAAAAAAGGTGACCCAATATATTTCGTGTCAAATTCCAAAAAACTTTAGAATGCGTCGTATAAAAAAAGTATAGAAAGACAAGGCTGTATGGACTTAATATCTTTGGCCTTTTCAAAAAGGAGAAAATTACAAAAAAATATCTAACTGTCAGTCAAAGTGACGTTTTAAAGAGTCTTTTTATTTCGGCCATTTTCGCCGAAAGTTTGGTGTTCGGTTTGGGTCACGTATCCTTTCGTGGCCTTTAGATCACTGATCTAAAATATAATCAAGATGGTGCAGAAGAAGGTAAAAGCCATGTGCGTTTAATTTATAAGTATATTTTTTTGTGAAAAAGTGAGTTAGTTGCTAATAATGTGATCCTTCAGTAACATGTTTACCCGACGAGGACTGCACTTCACACCCCTATTTATAATTTCTAGGTACCTGGGTATTGTTTTAACTGAGTTTTTGTTAATCTATACGCTTTTTATTTCGCCAGAGTGCTGTAAATGATGCAAACTTAACAAATCAATTTTCTAACCTATATTCGTTGCCATGATGTCAAACTTATATACGAGTGCCGTGATTATACACAAAATACCTATCACCAAGATCTGAAAGCCTTCTGTTGAGAGATTTAAGTGTCTGTTGGATGAAAGGTTGTTGATTTTGATTCCTGATTTCAGCCTAAGAAGAAGGTAGGAAAGAAGGTAGCGGCCGCCCCGTTGGTCGTCAAAAAAGTTGAACCCAAGAAGGTAGTCAACCCTCTCTTCGAAAAGAGGACAAAGAACTTTGCTATTGGTAAGTTAAAGTCTAGGCTTACTTTCAGTCTTTACATTTGATTATTTGTAGTTAGTACTAGTTTGTTTTAAGAGGAATTCTTAGCGTGAGTTGCTTCTACTTACTTTAACTTAACTGTCATTAAAGTCTTAGTATACTTAAGCTAGCTCTGTAGTGTAACTCACACTTAGAAGGATGTTTAAATCAACAGAATAACTTCATCAAAATTCAACAATGATGTAAAATCTAAATCTGAATAAAACCATGTGGTTTCAAATATACGAGCTTTTTAACACTGATGTTTCATAAAGGAATGCTTAGGCAACCAATACAGTAAACATCTTTTCTGAGTATTGATAAATTCTTTTTAGGTCAGGACATTCAGCCCACACGTGACCTGTCTAGGTTTGTGAGATGGCCCAAGTACATCCGCATTCAGCGCCAGAAGGCAGTGCTGCAGCGCCGTCTCAAGGTGCCGCCACCTATCAACCAGTTCACTCAGACACTCGACAAGACTACAGGTTTGTGGTAAATATTTGTTTTAGACAGTTAAGTTTATTGAGAATTTTTTTTGTATTGTTGGACTCTTGGACTGGTCAAGTAGCAATAGTTGCATACTTATCGATGTATGCATAGTATCTATAGTTTTCTTTGTAATCAATATTGTACTTGTGGCTTTAATCCGAGGTGTAGATTAAATTGTCAGCGAAGTGTTGTCTCACTATATTGTTATTTTAGAGAATGAAATAGCAACCTGACTTGAATCAAACTATAAATCAATTGATCACCATGTGTGGCCATTAATTTGTAGCAAGGTTTGCCAATGGAGATGTTTTTGTGAATCTTATTCCAAATTTGATATGATTCTAACCTCAAAAATGCATTTTACAGTAGTTAATCCTTATCATGTACTATACACAATGAAAATAGGCTGCTGTTCAATGTAGCTCTAAATTTATCTCTAGCTAGGGCCAGATTATGCCCATTGTCTTGGTTTACAAAATCAAAGTACTCTTCTCTTCAATGATTATTTATCATCTCGTTAACTGATTCTCTATGTATATCTAAGCAACAATATAGCTAACATTAATGAAATCAGACCATGAGCTTACATTTAGAATTTACAGCGTCGGTACTGGATCCAGTTATGTTCCTACATTTGAATCTAACATGATGAATTTCCAAATGCAACTATGAAGAATCACTATGATTATCATCAAAATATACGAGCTTTTTAACTCTGAATTACTAAGAAAATAATGAAATACATATTTGCCAATCCCAACAAATACTTTAGCTGGTATTATTTTGTTTTCAGCCAAAGGTCTGTTCAAGATCCTTGAGAAATACAGGCCAGAGACAGAGGCTGTCAGGAAAGAGCGACTAAAGAAAGCTGCTGAAGCGAAGGTATTTAGCTGCATATTGTTTCTTTTCATGTATCAGTTAGTATGTTTTAGTAAAACTTTTGAAATATAAATATTAAGCAAGCAAGCAGCAGCAAGATGCTGGCATCGCTCTTTGTATTTTCAATTTGTGATTTGACAGCAGTATCTCCTATTAATTCCCTATAGAATAACGAACAAGTATATATCATATTAACAAATAGCAAATACGAGCAGCCATGTGAAAGTCTAGCACTTCCCATGACTATTCATTTTAAAGAAAGAAGTCATGTCTCCCCATACTAGCAGATATTGTTTTTAGATTTCAAAAATTGTTTTGATTTGTGCTTGTAAAACATTAATAATGGAAAACAACTTGCGTAGTGACTTGTATATGAATAGCTATTTATACTGTAATCGTTGAACGATTTTATCAGAATCTAAGTGCAAACATACAAGAAATTTTGTGCTTGATAAAAGTTTCATTGGCTTTCCCTATTTCGTCTACAAATGTGACCTATATAAGCTAAATATTAGCAATGGACATGATGTATAACAACTCAAAACAGATGGCTATGAAGACCACTAACCACCAAGATCTCTGATGTCTCTAGAGCCTGTAACAACTCCAGAGTCTATTCTGGAACATTCTAACTTTGTCCAACAATTCACAGGTCGCCAAGAAGGATGAGGCCCCACCAAAGAGGCCAAACACTGTCCGAGCTGGCACAAACACAGTCACCAAACTGGTGGAAAAGAAGAAGGCACAACTTGTGGTCATCGCGCACGACGTAGACCCTATTGAGGTATTTAATTACCATGTGTTTCTACTAGATAAAATCCATTCATTCAAATTTAGAAATCTAGCAAGTTTGAGCAATGTGTAAGAGAAACTGTTTTGGTAACATAAAAATAAATTACTTGCAAAATGTTTGTGAAAAACATTGTCCATGTTTTCTCTGATCCCACTTCAATTAATGGATGGAATTTTGAAGTAGCATGGAGAATGGGCCCAAAAAGTGCCAAGCCAGATATGGCTAACTCTAATTTGAGAGGTGGTTGTTTTAAATTGTCTGGTTAAAATCTAAACTATGTTGTTCATTATAAGAACAATGGTTTTACAGTTTATGAGAAAATCGAGCTTCTTAAAAACTAAAATCCTCGTCTTCTTTAAATATTACTTACAAATAATAGACAATATTTAAAACATTAATCTTAAACTATTTAATTCAAAAATATGTACATAGTATCATCCCAGATTGTTGGGTTGACAAAGCTAAACACTACTATTGTAGTGTTAAAGTGTTGGTGACTTCAGAACAGGTAGTCTGGGATAATGCCTTATTGTCTTACTTTATCTGTCTTGTGACATCAATCTTCCAATCTAGTGTACCATTCCTATTACATTATTACTAATTGTCAATTATGAGATAAAATTTAAGCACAGGAGTCAATTAGGTTCAATACATCCCACAACATACTACTCTGCTGGGTAATTTAGGAACTGGGTAATTCTAAGAAATTCTTTTGTATTCATTGGAGCAGCAAAAGTATACATTTTGATGCTCCAATAAATTTATTTTAAGCCAATTAATTTATTTTTAATAGTTAATGAAGCACTAAAAAGTAACAGTTTTTTGCATACAATGGTAATGTCTTCAATGTTTACTGTGTTTCAAAATTATGTAGTTATAGTAGCAGTGATGTAAGAATTTCTTCACCTGAGGCTGTAACATACCTTGTGTTAAAGTTACAAGCTGCATGAAGCCACTTGACTCTGAGCTACATAACTACTCCTTTATTTTGAACACAATGCATAAACCGTTTCATTTGACTATCTGTACTTAATATTACTATGTATAAATTAAAACTTAACATAGTAAAAAATAAACTCTCAGGCAATATTCAACAAGAAGTTCAAGTTTTACCTGAAAGATTTTTTACATTGCCATTTAAAGAAGATAAAATATAAAAAGCCTTTATTTGCCATATAAAACTACAGAAATTTCTTTTATAATCTACTTAATTACTTATATGAAAAGATAAATGTATCCATTTCTTTCCATGCGGTATAACGGACCGTCTTGTTATTTATAGATAGGCAGGAAAATATATTAATGTTATTTTAATTTGCAAGCAAAGTTCTTACAAATAAAAAGACAAAACGTTGAATGGCTTCAAGCTCGTCAAAAGATTCTACAGATAAGCATGTCTTCTTATTAATAACCAATCTATAATCTTATTTCAGCTCGTGCTATTCTTGCCGGCTCTGTGCCGCAAGATGGGAGTCCCATACTGCATCGTGAAGGGCAAATCCCGCCTCGGAGCTCTCGTGCACCGCAAAACGTGCTCCTGCTTAGCGCTTACACATGTAAGTATTGCAGTTTTATTTGTCCCCTAGTAGGTATGTCAGAGCAGGAATAAGTAGTGAGAAAGAATTCGTATCTCTATAGTCAAAGTTTCTATGGAGCAGCAGCATATCGTTAGTTTGTAAGAACAAACTTAATTTGGGAAGCATGATATGTATAACATAGAGAACGGACGCATATTTGTCGAATAGTATTTTCACGTCTATTGTCAACTTACGAAATCGTATCAAGAACTCTGTCAGTTTGTAATTGGGGTACAATTATTTATAATATTGCACTTATAAAGTCGCGTTTCTAGCGCTTGTTTTGCCCTACACAATGAACTAAAACATATCAACATTCAATAAAACCGTCTACACAGAACTTTGCCTCACTATACATATTTGTTTGCATCAAACAAAGTTTTTGCTTTCTGAGCTTGATGGAAAAAACTAAATCCATCAATAAAGGTCGGCAACACTGCTCTAACAACTCTAGGCAGCAGACGGGACTCGGACCGCACCCTTCCCTATCCGGGTGGATACACTGCCTAATTTTGCTTATGCGACCCTTAATCGCGGTGACGAATTTCCTCTAGTATATCTTAGGCTGCATTATCAATTCTAAATTAAGTGATAGCAAAGAAGTAAAAAACTTTGAGATGTGTAGAGAATATTCTGCTAAGTACAAGTAAAGAACTGAAAGATAATACATGTTCCTAAATATTATAGAAGAAAAGTTGTTTGGTTTAAGGTACAATCTCAGTAAATATGTACTGAGGCTCAAGCACGAATTTTGACAGCTTAATCGTAACGTCATCGTCAAAACATCAATCGTCGGACATTGTATGGAAAAAAGGAGTTTGTTTTCACGGCCGAATACTGCTTAGTTTTCATAGAAACTTAGGCAATGCGATATGATTACAGAGCTGTCAAAATTTCTGCTTGGACCTATATACTTACCACGTTTTATTTGTAACATTTAAAGTAGGTGTATATATGTATTTCACTTCCTGATGATTAAACTGATGATAATTTGTTTCTATGTAATGGTGTGACTTTACCCTAACATATCTCAGTTTCGATTCAATTTCAGTTTAAAAACAAAATCGTTACGGTACATGTATTCTATTCTGCATTTCATCATAGAGGATACTAAAGGTCTAACTTATTTTTGGTGGTGCAATGAAATAATAATACCTTATTTTGTATGCAAGAAGTCTGCTTTTCCCTCTTTCAATCTAACTGAAGCGGAGTAAGGTCAAGCTCAAGGTCCCCATTAGAGGTGTAGTATTAGGTTGGCTTATGTGAATGTCTTTGTAATATTTAAATCGATGTAAATGAGTGCTGAACCAGGGGTGCCTGCATCAATCGATGCGGAGCTTTTACCGATGCGGATTAATTTCAACAATGCAGGAAATTAAAAATATGCCCCTGTCAATAAGTAACATCGTAAGAAAGTTGCGGAGCTAGAGTGGCACTTGGTTAAAATCTAACCATTTAATATGAACTTGAAATTAAAATATCTTTAGAATATCCTGTAAAACTCGCGGATCTCTAATAGACCATATGCGCATTCGCATATGTCAAATATTTCGTATCTGCAACAACCCTGGTCTGCACCATGAAGTTTAATAAACTCCAGAAAATAATGTGGCATTGGAGGTAGCGGCAAACTTCTTGAGCTAGACCAGGACAAATAAACTCGAAAGATGTTTTCGTAGGTTTGAAAAATTGTTACTTCCATGGTTTTCTCAAGAAGTTTGCTGGGGTGTATACATAACTTTTATGATGATTCATTTGCTATCTGAGTGCCGTGCTGCCAAACTCATCTACCACCAATAGAAGTAATCTGATTATCCCAACACCCTATCGCGACACTTACAACCCCTTTACTAGCCATATTAAGCTTTATATTCTAACAGGTGGAGTCTGGCGACCGCGCCGCCTTCTCGAAGGTGGTGGAAGCCATCAGGACGAACTTCAACGAGCGCTACGAAGAGCTACGCAGGCACTGGGGCGGCGGCGTGCTCGGAAACAAATCCAATGCGCGCATCGCCAAGTTGGAGAAAGCCAAGGCGCGCGAGCTGGCGCAGAAGCAGGGCTAAATAAATATACTAAGGACTATGTATTAAAGTGTATTATTTCCGTTTCGAACCCATGACTGTTGCGTTGGTTTAAGTGCTAGGTAAAGGGGGTCCGGAGGCAATGAGGCGCTCGCTCGGCAACAAGTCCAACGCGCGTATCGCCAAGGTCGAGAAGGCCAAGGCGCATGAACTGGCGCAGAAACAAGGCTAAATAATAGTCTATTTCACTAGCGTAGTCGAAAGCGAATTTCAGAAACAAAATAATTTGTTTTGTCAAGTTCTGAAATTCGTTTCGATGCGCTTTTACTTTAAGCTAAAATGAATTATAATTATTTTTGATAACGGGATTGGTCAGTGCATCCGTCAGGAATAGTGGAGGGTGCGGGTTCGAGTCCCGTTTGCTGCCTGGACTAGTGTTGCCTATCCATAGACAAAAAACAGCGTGGCTATCGATTTTTCAAAACCAGACAGTACTATCGAATGAAAGCTACACTACTTATTGATAGACTTGTTGGGTCACGAAGGTATAATAGTTCTTTGCAAAATAATTATAATTGCATTATATGTATTAATATTTGCATATTAATATTAATGATTCTCATTTAATTACTGTTACCTACATCATTCATAGCTAATACTATCGCAAATTAGCAGACTATACATATATATATACCTAGTAGTAAATAACTACGGTAGTAATCAATGGTTTTTTTTATTTACGACCAACAATACTAGGTACCTATTGAATTACCTGAATTATCGAAAATAACGGGGTACCAGATGAAAACTTGATAACTCTAACACTAGGTTAGGGATGTTCGATATCGATTGGATTAATCGATTACTGGTTTGTAAAATTTTGCGCATTAATCGATTAATCTATAAATTAATAATGACCTTCATTATGGTCTTGTCAGTTCATACAATAACAATGCCTAAACATGAAACACATCGAAAAATCATAAAAACAAGCTTCGACAGCCGACAGCTTTGTCCATACAATACCCACTGTTCCTTTAGTCCTTAAAACCATCTCTATCTATATGTATAATGGTAGGGGGCCCAAGCGGGGATTTTTGGATTTACTCGAGCGCGGCAGAATAATATATGGGGAGCAACCTTGCACCTAGTTAAGTACTCCCACCATACCTGAGTGAGCCATCTATGTAAGGCCGAACATCTAGGGCAGCAAAAACGAAATTACAACAAACGGCCATGATTTTGGTCGGGTCCAAATCGTCAGTCTTTTGAATTGGAGCTACTGGAGGGTACACGTAACATCCCTTCTCAATGTCTGACGCGCTCGGATATTTTTTCCTATATTCTACCTCTTCGTACCGCCACCCCCATATCATGCAAACCGCGACAGATCAATATTTTTCCGTTCCTAGAAACGTTACATGAAGGGTTCATGTAGTAGTAGCTTTTATTCAAAAGACTGACAATTTGGGCGCGACCAAAAGTCTGACCGTTTGTTGAAATTTTGCTTTTGCTGCCCTTGACGTTCGGCCCTACATAGAGGGCTCAGGTATGGTGGGAGTATTTACCTAGGTGCAAGGTTGTTCCCCATATGTTATTCTGCCACGCTCGAGTAAATCCAAAAATCCCCGCTTGGGCTCCCCTACAAACGTTTATGCAGTTGCAGCTACGTATGTTTCTTCTAGATATCAAACTGGAATAAAATGTTCATGGTGGCAAAAGACCATAGTGATTAGTCATTTATTCCATAAAAACAATATTGCATTGTGTTGGAAATTATGTTAAGTACCTACATAGAAATAAATCCCAAAAACAAAACCCTTACATAGCCTGGGATACAGAAATATTTAGAGTGGCAATCAGACATTTATCAATCATTTCCACGTCTGTGCCTTCTGAAAGACTATTTTCAGAAGCTGGGCAAATCGCCACAGACATGAGAAACAGATTGACTGGTTCTCATCTTCCATAAATGAATCTCAATGGAAATGTTAGTGGTTAAATAAACATTCTTATTTTAAAATTGTAATTCTTTTATTTGTAATTAACGTCTATGTATTTTTTTTGTATTTCGGCGGAACATTTATTTTCTTACAAAGACCGGAAATTTTCTTCGATTAATTGATATCATAAGTGCAATTAATTGTAATCGACACTAGAAATAATTGAATAGCATCCCTACGGTAGACCGCATTGAAGTTTTCTATTTTTCTTTAAGCAGTCTAAAGTATGACAACATTTTAGTATTTCTGGGGGGACAGCGCGTACGCAGTCCCCACTACCAAAAATTACGCATCCGAGTTATCCACATTAGGGATAATCGCAGGGGTCAACCCCACCGCAGTGCAATGGAGGAGCCTCGCCCTGGGGGAACCGCCTTCTTGATCACGGTGTCCCCTATGCCAGGTAAGTATGCTTAGAACATCGCGACTATGGTATATAAGGTTTCAGAATAACGCTTCGATAGCGCGTTTGAACTCGACTACAACGCCATCTAGCGAAGTACGACAAAATCTTAGAATATCGCATTTTACATTTTAGCTACAGCGGCTGCAGCAAAGCACTAAAATTGTACATATTGCGGATGCCAGACTGCTTCTGATGTAGTGAATTGTGGCTTTGGGTTCAGTTTATAATTTCATTGTTTACCTATATTTTCGGTCAGAGTAACGACTTAAAAGAAACCGTGAATTTTGAGTTTCCTAAACCTGCGTTTACTAGCCAATTCATACAATGAATTAGGTGATATTTACACCCATAGATGAATGATTGGTCTCGCTTCACTCGACTGAAGCGAGACCAGTGGTTACACCCGCAAAAAAAATCTATTTTTTTTTTGAAAAATTTCTGTACGTCTACTCAGTTGGCAATTAGGAAACCTTAACAAGTGTAATTGTTAAACTGATAGGATCTACGTAGGCACATTAAACAGATATCTCTTATCTATTAGACAAGTCCGTCCGTCCGTCTGTGGTGCTGTTTCAGCGGCCAAACCGTAAGAGATAGATAAAGAGAATATTTAAGTTATAAGTTAAGAATAGTCTGATAAGACTACAAACCGGATTTGAGTAACGTAGCACTTCCGGTTTTCGAGAAATCACGAATTTCAAACGAAACCACACAAAATCTCCGAAGTTCTCAATTAATTAAATACATTTTTTTTTAAATCAGGTTTTGGTGAACATTTGGTTCACTGGTTTGCTAGTTCATTATATAATAGGTATGATTATTATAATTATAAATTGCACCGCTTAAGGATATTTTGTATACGATATAAATAAATATATTTATAAGGGGTATATTACGTTTACTGTTTTACTGTTCTCACAATTTTTATTTACACAATCTTAGTTTCTCAGGTATCTCAAAATTCACGGTGTATAGAAATTACTTGCTCAGTGGATTACCATTGGTCAGAGCGGATCATTCCAATGTTGTAGTATTGTGTAAAACGTAGTGGTTATATCCTCTTTGGTCTTGTGTAGTTCGCGAACGAACTAGAACGTAAGAACGCTCCCACAGGTAAACTACTCGAACTAGTTCTCTCATTCCCCGTTCCATAGTTTATTAGTACGTCTCGGACAAGCGAGAGTGGAGTTAACCGAACGTATGCCGTTACGGAATTCACACACAGGTCAAATTTGGAGGGTTTTCTTCGAGGCTGGTCTTGTCATTGACACATATCTATGTATAAGTTATATTATTAACTAATAACTTATACATACATAAAAAGACGTAACATATAGAAAGGTTTTAATCACTTCAACTATTCATTCCTTCGGAGGCAGTGCCGTCTTTGACCTATTGGAGGCCCTGGGCATATTAGGATAATAGGGGCCCTATGACTTCCGTTTGGTAATCTAACAGGAACTAGGGACTTTGTATTTGATCTGAGGGGGGCTCCTATCGATCGCGGGGCCCTGGGCACTTGCCCAAAGTGCCCAATGGGAAAGACGGGTCTGTTCGGAGGTCTTTGCTATTTGAAGAGTACAAAATTGTAAATAAAAGTACAGCATTACATAATCTTATCACGTAAGGTCAAAACGAACGAACGATTTGCTTCTCACCGATTCGAGCTAGGAGCTGACGAACCAGAAGAGTGAACTAGTTCGTTTAGGGGCTGCGACCTAAACTGAGCGATCTCAGTGGCGAACTACTACGCCCAAGACCACAATGTTTTGATGTGACATCATGCCATGCATTAACTGGTCAAGTGCGAGAACTAGCAAGCTCAAAATATTAAATAAATTTAAAAAAATAAAAACGCCTGGGGGCCGTTCAAGTATTACGTAAGCAGATTTATTACAATTATTTACCCCCTCCTCCCCCTCGTTAGCAAAAGTAAGCAAAGCTCTTACCCCTCCCCCCATCCTTACGTAAACATTAGTACCTATATGCATTTTTCCTTTAATGTATTCTGTTTTTTTTTATTGATTCATGAGCTTTCATGAGTTTCATGAGCAGCAGTACTTAAAAAGGCTTAATCGATGATGCTGACGTAATCACCAACTCTACTCCCCACCCCCCCATGTCATCAAAAATAAGCAAAGCAAAGACCCCCCTGCTCCCCTATAGTACTTACGTAATACTTGAACAGCCCCCTGTTTCAAAATTAAGTTTAAATAAAAACTGAACAGAAAAAAACGAGTCAAGTGCCCTTAGCACGAACCAGTATCGAATTCGAATAGTTTGCGAGTGCGGAATGTCATTGTCAAATGTGCACTGATTTATAATTCACGTTACGCCCGTTATGGCGCTGCTGTTCAAGTTTCCATACAAAATTTGTATAAGAGCATTATAAATATAATGCTTTTTTAAGTAAGGTAATAAATATGTAAACTCCGATAGCGCCGTATAAACCTTTGCTCGATTATTAATAAACAAGGAATAAGCTTGGACTAGTTACGCCGTGTTTTGTTTATGTCACTCATATGCCATTTGTCATTCAATGAACAGAGACAAAACATGGAGTAATTAATCCAAGCTTATTCTCCGTTTATTAATAAGTGGGTAGTGGTTTTTAGATGTTATCGCATGCCATTGTTTAATACTGTTTTGGATATG